TCACAATCCAGCAAGAAATCCGGAAGTGATGAAATGAGAAAAGTAATAAATCTATAACAGAAGACTAGAAAACTATTATATGAAAATCACTATATTAAAAATGATCAGCGCCCAATCTTCTATGCTATGTATAATGATTGTCAATTTATATATATTGTACAATGTATTTGTTTGATAGTTTGATACAGGCCTACATGCACATTTCCCCCCCCCCCCCCCCCCAACCCAGATAGTTGAACCGTTGATGCAGGAGACGATCATGTCACACGAAGAAGAAAAGCATCCTCCTCATATTCGGGACCTGGACATCAGTGAAGAGAGGGTAAAAGAACTTTGCAAGGAGATGAACGATTTGAACAGAAGGATGAGAGAAATTGGAAGAAAGCTCAACCAACTGAGAAGTAAGTGCAAAATCAACCTTTTTTGTTGTCCGTTTTATCAGCTGTTTTTTTTACTTCTTCTTCTTCTTCTTCTTCTTTTTCTTTTTTCTTGTGTTCATAATGTTTAGAGATTCTTAGATTAGACTTTTCGAATGTTAGTGTTTTCATGCAATGTTAAATGTGTATGGAAGACCTGTCCTAGCTACTTGAAGTGTAGAACAAATTACAAGTGTTTATCTCTCTCTCTCTCTCTCTCTCTCTCTCTCTCTCTCTCTCTCTCTCTCTCTCTCTCTCTCTCTCTCTCTCTCTCTCTGTAATAGTATCAGTACAGAACTCATTCATTACATAACGAAATACCATAGGTTTTATATAAGAATAGGCCTACATAAAAAACTGAACCGCTTATTAACGATGAAACGTACGTATAAGAACACGATGAAATATTTATAACATCGGTAAATTCCAGGATTGTGCAAGGGCTCGTTGAATGAAACAATCTTTCTCCCGTTCTATGTTTCTTTGTCAGGTTGTCTTATCCATCTCACTCATTACCTGTCTTTCTGTGTATTCATCTATCCCTGTCTCCATCTCGAATTTTATTTATCTCTTCTCACTCTGATCTATTTATCTATCCATCTATCTATCTGTCTCTCTGTTTATATCTGTCTGTCAGTCTGCCTACCTACCTACCTATTTATCTCTGCCACGTGTCTCTATCTATCTCTCGATTTACTTATTTCTCCCTATCTCCCTCCCTCCCTAATTTTTTCTCTCAAAATCCCTCCCTCTCTCCATCTCCCTCCCCCTAACCCCTCCCCATTCTCTCTCTCTCTCTCTCTCTCTCTCTCTCTCTCTCTCTCTCTCTCTATGTATATATATATATATATATATATATATATATATATATATATATATATATATGTATATATTCTCTTCTCTCTCTCTCTCTCTCTCTCTCTCTCTCTCTCTCTCTCTCTCTCTCTCTCTCTCTCTCTCTCTCTCCCTCTCCTCTCCTCTCTCTCCTCTCTCTCCTCTCTCTCTCTCTCTCTCTCTCTCTCTCTCTCTCTCTCTCTCTCTCTCTCTCTCTCTCTCCCCTCAATCCTCTATCTCTTTCTCTCCCTCCCTCCCTCCCCTCTCTCTCTCCTCTCTCTCTTTCTCTTTCCTCTCTCTCTCTCTCTCTCTCTCTCTCTCTCTCTCTCTCTCTCTCTCTCTCTTCTCTTTCTTTCCTCTCTCTCTATCTATCTTCTCTCTCTTTCCTCTCTCTCTCTCTCTCCCCTCAATCCTTTATCTCTTTCTCTCCCTCCCTTCCCCTCACCTCCCTCCCTCCCTCCCCTCTCTCTCTCTCTCCTCTGTCTCTCTTCTCTCTCTCTCCTCTCTTCTCTCTTCTCTCTCTCCTCTCTCCCTCCTCTCTTCTCTCTCTCTCTGCTCTCTCCTCTCTTCTCTTCTCTCCTCTCTTCTCTCTCTCCTCTCCTCGCTTCTCTCTTCTCTCTCTCTCTCTCTCTCTCTCTCTTTCTCTCTTTCTTTCTCTCTTTCTCCCTCCCCCCCCTCTCTCTCTCTCTCTCTCTCTCTCTCTCTCTCTCTCTCTCTCTCTCTCTCTCTCTCTCTCTCTCTCTCTGTATGTATATATACATGTATATATATATATATATGTGTGTGTGTGTGTGTGTGTGTGTGTGTGTGTGTGTGTGTGTGTGTGTGGTGTGGTGTACATATATATTGTGTATGTACGTGCCTATGTATGTGTGTATGTAATGTATGTGTGTGTGTTTCCTCTCTCTCTCTCTCTCCCCTCAATCCTTTATCTCTTTCTCTCCCTCCCTTCCCCTCACCTCCCTCCCTCCCTCCCCTCACTCTCTCTCTCCTCTGTCTCTCTTCTCTCTCTCTCCTCTCTTCTCTCTTCTCTCTCTCCTCTCTCCCTCCTCTCTTCTCTCTCTCTCTGCTCTCTCCTCTCTTCTCTTCTCTCCTCTCTTCTCTCTCTCCTCTCCTCGCTTCTCTCTTCTCTCTCTCTCTTTCTCTCTTTCTCTCTTTCTTTCTCTCTTTCTCCCTCCCCCCCCCCCCTCTCTCTCTCTCTCTGTATGTATATATACATGTATATATATATATATATATATATATATATA